ACACACACACACACACACACACACACACACACACACACACACACACAGCTCTGCCAATGCATCCCAGCCTTGTCTCAGGACACACAATCAGCTTCATGCTTTGCAAAAATAGAGACAGATTAAATCCCACCAAACATCTGATAGATGTAAATAGCTAGGTCTCCAGATGTAGACGCCCAGGGCACAAACCAGAGAGGTAGATGAGGCTGACTATACACATTTTATAGATGGGTAAACTGAGGCACAGAAAGTGGGGGTTTTCAGAAGTTGACTGTTTTCACAAGTTGACTGCCCACTGACATCAATGGGACCAGAGTTGGGCCAATACTAAGGTTATGGCCCTTACCAAAAGAACAACAGAACAGCAAATAGAACCTAGGAGCCCTGAGCCCCAGTCGCCTGCTCTAACCACTAGACAACATTCCCTCCCCTCAGGCACAAAAGCAACAGTGATTGCGCAAACACATCTCAGGCATGACACAAGCCAGTCTTGCACATACCCCTGCAGCTGGCGTAAGGACAGAAGGACAAACAGAGGCTGTGCATGGCTGGGGTTCCAGAGACAAGGCCCAGCAAGCAATACCGCCGGTTACCTGAGGGATCGTGTTCATTCGGTTATATCTCTGGACGAGCTCATCCTTTGAGGGCATCCTGTGTTGTCCTTTCCCCATCCCTGTTGGACAATAAAGGAAGAACAGCAGCACAGGTCAGCAGTTACTGGGGAAAGGCCGCCCTCCTCTTGCTAGATCCTGTGTCCAGGATGCTCCACAAGGCACAGCTGCTCGCTGAAGGAGGCGAAAGGATGAGGCCAGCTCTCCATGCAGATCAATATTGCCCTGGCAATGCACTGCCAAACCCAAGGCTGTGCCATGACCCAAGCAGACATTCCCATGAAGAACATTAGATGGTGCAGGAACCCTCTCCTATACAGGAGCACAAATGCATGCGTGCACGTGGGAACTACCATGCAGGGGGCTGACTTGGTGAGTGTAACCACATAGGGACATGTGTCCCTGGAGATCATTTGGGCAAGAGCTGAGACGACCATCTTCAGTCTGCTGTCTATCTTTTAGGAGGCAAGACTGAGTGAGGTCCGTAACATGGCCCCACCACACCACAGCCACTCATGGATTTAGCCCCAGTGGGAGGACTGGATCCATTCTTACAGCTTGGGAACTGGAACACAGGGTAGATCACATGATTTGCCTAAAGCCACAGCATTTGCAGCTGAGCTGGGAATTGACCCCATATCTCCTGAGCTACAGCCCAGCACACAGCTCCACCAGGCCACGTCTTACCCTGCGTTTATACCTCATCGGCTACATGATACCTGCCCTGTAGCTTAACAATCACAGGTGCTCAGGGAGGAGGAGACTCTGTAATAAGGTGCTCCTGAAAGGGCCACGCACTGCGGAACGACAGAGAGCCACAGCTGCCACCATCTAGGGCCACCTGGGGCCATTGTGAAGGACAAAGGTGGGGAGCGAGTGACACTGCTGAAGGCAGGGTCTGAGCCTTGTCAACAGGAGTTGCTGTGGTTCCCTGTTAGTCTGGAGTTTAACAGGACCTGGAGCTCAAATTCTGTCTCCCCCCCCATCCCCCTCAAACTGCCATGGGGCAGCGTCAATCCACAGAAGCCAGATGAACCCCAGAGCAGCCAGCTGGCTCCCTAGGTGCTTGTGGCTGAAGCAGGGGCACGTTGACTTTCTCTGCCATCCCGCTGGCCTGGGCTGGGCCCCCCAGACATGCATTGTCACCAAATGCTCCAGGTGAAGATCCAACCCGACTGGGAAGCATCCATGGGTCAGGGCCCTTGACAGACGATGCAGCGATGAATCTGACTTTCCAGAGCTAAGGGGCAAGATCTGCAGCAGTGTGATGTGTCTCAGGGACGCTCAAGCTGGAGGGGGGTTAAGCAGACACGGCTTCTACTGCCCTCGTTTGCTTCCTGATGTGCCCTAAGAGACATCAGCCCATTGGCTCCAGATCCCCAGAGTGAGTAGTGTAAAAGGGCCCTGGGAATCAGAAAGCTCCCCGAGTTCACCTCCCTGCGGAGAGGGGAATAAACAGGGACCAGGAGTCTCCACGTCCCCCAGCTCTCTGGCCTGGGTTAGACAGGACGCCAGACTAGGTGATCACGGCGGTCCCTTCTGGCCTTCGAATCTGTGAATCCACGGGACCAAGAGAAGGGCCAGCAGAAACCCTGGCGGGGGAATCTGTGGGGACTCTCCCTCCACCCCCACTGGCCACGGCAGCACTGTCTGGCTAGTAGCAGTGATGCCAGCAACTGTGCTGAGACTGCTCCAGGAGGGGGATCTATGGCTTTCAACAGCTTTGGCTGCAGCTCTTTAGCAATGCCCGGGGCTGGGGCGACCTACCACTCAGGGTAGTTCCTCTGCTGGCCACATGCCTGCTGCTGGTGTGGCCAATGAGCCATGTGGAAGCTGTGCAGAGGGGACAGAGCTGGCTGCCTGGATGGGCAGCCAGGCGTCCCTCCACGTGGCCCTGCTGCACTCCCAGGCTAGCTGGCTTGGCTCCCCTTTGTGCCCCACTGCAGTGGGAGGGGGAGGCAAAGCGTTTGCCAATGGAACTCAAGAGGAACCGTCCCCTGTTCATCAGGCGAGCAGAGTGGAGAGGAGGGAAGGAGGGCGAGGCAGGGAGAGCAGGTAACAGACCCAGTCATGCCAGTGCTTCGCAGCCTTCCCCAGAGCAGGACACACACACCCCATCTACCAATGCAGCTTGGTCGCTGCCCCTGACAACGGCATGTGACCCACCTGAGAGCCATGACCCCAGGCTACCTCTCCTCTAGGTGTTCATACCATGCCTATCACCAAGTCATGACAGTACCCTCAAGGCACTACAGTCATTCATTCCCCAGGCAGGATGGCTCTCTAGACAGTGCAGCCAGGGGCTTTCAAGAGGCACTGCTCTATAATGCACAGGCAGCAGCTGATATAATGCTAGGCTGGACTAGACACAAGGGCACTTACCACAGGGGCCAATCTCACCCCGGCCCCGGGAAATGCAGGGGGACAATCGATTGGCTTTTCCTGCTTACCGGGGCTGGAAGGGTGCTCTGACTGGAATTTCCAACACCGCTCCCAGAGAGGCACCGAAATGACTGGCCCGATTTGCTTAGGGGCTCCGCCCACTGACTACGGCAGGTGCAGGGCTCTCTGGGAAATCTGGCCCCGGTGAAGGGTTCCAAGCACTGGAAATCTGGGCCTGAGCTCTTTTGAAGAGATAAAGCCAGATTTTCAGAGTTCCTGTGGAGAGACTTTTGCAGATCAAATAAATCAAGCAAGCCCCAGCATGGGAAAGGCTTGAGAGGTGATGGGCTAAGAGACGAGGGCCCTAGTCCTCACTTAAAAGCTTCAGATACGCAAGGGAGGCAGGACTGGGCTCCCAGTTTGCATCGGGTTTCTTACTGTGCTGATGCAATGGCTGAGAGAACTGGGCCAGCCGGGAAGCCGGGAGCCCTGGCAGACACATCGGGGGAAGTATGTTAATTAAAGCTAGTTGGAAAACTGGTTATTTCTCTATGGCAAATTTCTACACAAATTAAACAAGTTATTTTTGTCCAAATTTTCCATGGGAAATGTTGATATTTCTCTGAAAAATGGGAAACTGAAAGCGAACGAGTTCAGTATGGAAATGCTGCTGTGGTGCCCATAGCAGTTGTAGTTCAGCTGCTTCATGTTCTTCTTCTCTTAAGTGGAGCACAGAGTCTGGTCCAAGAGGTGAACGCAGCTGAACCACTCAGTAATAGGGACCATAATGTAATATCTTTGGAGGGGGGGAAATGCCACAGAAACCCACCCCAGTCGCACTTTACTTCAAAAAGGGGAACTACACAAAACGGAGGAAGTTCATTAAATGGAAATTAAAAGGGACAGTCTCAAGGGGGAAATGCCTGCAAACTGCATAGACACTATTTTAAAACACCATGACAAAGGTTCAGACTAAATGTATACCCCAAATATAACAGAACAGTAAGAGAACCAAAACACATGCTGCGATGGCTAAAGAGCTGAGTAAAAGAGGTGGTTGGGGTAAAAAGGTATCCTTTAAAAATTGGAAGTCAAATCCTAGTGAGGAAAATAAAACAGAGCATAAACTCTGGCAAGTCAAGTGTAAAAGCATATTAAGGCAGACTAAGAAAGACTGAAGAGCAACTAGCTAAAGACACAAAAACTAACAGCAATTTTATTAAGCACCGCAGAAGCAGGAAGCCTGCCAAATAATCAATGAGGGCACTGGATGATTGAGGTACTAAATGAGCACTCAAGGAAGACAAGGCCATTGTGGAGAAGCTAAATGAATTCTTTGCATCAGTTTTCACTGCAGAGGATGTGAGGGAGATCCCCACACTTGAGCCATTCTGAGGAACCATCTCAGACTAAGGTGTCAATAGAGGAGGTTTTGGAATAAATAGCTAAATTAAACAGTAATAAGTCACCAGGACCAGCTGGTATTCACCCAAGAGCTCTGAAGGAACTCATATATGAAATCGCAGAATTAATATCTGTGGTATGTAACCTATTGCTTAAATCAGCCTCTGTACCAGATGGCTGGAGGATAGCTAATGTAATGCTGATTTTTTTTAAAAGGCCGCAGAGGTGATCCTGGCAAGTACAGGCTGATAAGCCCAACTTCAGTACCAGACAAATTGGTTGAAACTGTAGTAAAGAAGAGAATTATCAGATACATAAACATGATATGTTGGGGAAAAGTCAACACAATTTTTGTAGAAGGAAATCATGCCTCACCAATCTATTACAATTCTTTGAGGGGGGTCAACAAGTATATGATCCAGTCGGTATAGTTTTCTTGGACTTTCAGAAAGTCTTTGACAAGGTCCCACACCAAAGGCTGTTAGGCAAACTAAGCAGTCATGGGATAAGAGGGAAGGTCCTTTCATGGATCAGTAACTGGTTAAAAGATAGGAAACAAAGGGTAGGAATAAATGGTCAGTTTTCAGAACGGAGAGAGGTAAATGGTGTCCCCTAGGGGTCTGTACTGGGACCAGTGCTGTTCAACATATTCATAAATGATCTGGGAAAAGGGGTAAACAGTGAGGTGGCAAAATTTTCAGATGATACAAAATTACTCAAGAGAGTTAAGTCCAAAGCTGACAGCAAAGAGTTACAAAGGGATCTCACAAAACTGGGGGATTGGGTAACAAAATGGTAGATGAAATTCAATATTGATAAGTGTGAAGTAATGTACATGGGAAAAAAATAATCCCAACTATGGATACAAAATGCCGGGGTCTAAATTAGTTGTTACCACTCAAGACAGAGATCTTGGCGTTATTGAGGATAGTTGTCTGAAAACATCTGCTCAACGTGCAGTGACAGTCACAAAAGCTAACCCAATGTTAGGAACTATTAGGAAAGGGATAGATAAAAAACAGAAAATATCATAATGCCACTATATAAATCCATGGTATGCCCACACAGTGAATACTGCTTGAAGTTCTGGTCACCCCATCTCAAACAAGGAGTATTGGAATTGGGAATGGTACAGAGAAGGGCAACAAAAATTAGGGGTGTGGACAAGCTTCCATTTGAGGAGAGATTAAAAAAATGGGACTCTTCATCTTAGAAAAGAGACAACTAAGGGAGGATATGATAGAGTCTACAAAATCATGACTGGTGTGGAGAAAGTGAATAGGGAAGTGTTATTTATCCCATCACATAACACACAAACCAGGGGTGCCCCAATGAAATTAATAGGTAGTAGTTTAAAACAAACCTAAGGAAGTATTTCTTCACACAACCCACAATCAGCCTGTGGATCTCATTACCAGGGGATGCTGTGAAGGCCAAAACAATAACTAGATTCAGAAACAAATTAGATATGTTCATGGAGGACAGGTCCCTCAATGGCTATCAGCCAAGATGGACAGAGACTCAACCCCATGCTCTGGGCATCCTTAAACCTCTGACTGCCAGAAGCTGGGACTGGACGACAGGGGATGGATCACTTGATAATTGCTCTGTTCTGTTCATTCCCTCTGAAGCACCTGGCATTGGCCACTGTCCTAAGAAAGGATACTGGGTGAGATGGACCTTTGGTCTGACCCAGTATGGCCCTACTTATGTTCTATGGGCTAAACCCCCTGGTCAGACTACATCTCCCATGGTTCACCACAGTCTCCCCTCTTGGAGAGGTGGGTGATGCATCATGAGAAATAAAATCTAGCTGGGGAGCCTGGCCCAGAGAGGAGAAAGGGGACACGAGGTGCCTGAACTACAGCTTCCAGGGGGTATTCGGGTTTTGGATGAAAAATCAAAGCTTCCCCCAGGAAGCAGATACTTTGCAGAGAGACATTCATTGTCCATCTGTTCCTGAGACATTGATGGCACCTTCCAGATTGCAGGCATGGGAGGCTGCTTCTCAAAATCAGTGCCATGCAATGCTGGAGAAGAACCAGGACCCACCCACCCCCCCGCCCCAGGCTGGCAGAGTCACCTTCCTGACTGTACCTGTCTGTGACAGCAGATATCCACGTAGCCAGGGACTTCCCATCAGAGAAGACCCATGGCCCCGTCAGACCAAGGCAGGATCTGGCACTCCCGGCCAATGGCTTGCGGGTACATCCCAGGGCATGTTACAGAGAGAGAGGTGGGGAGGGGAGAATGAGGGAGCCGTGCGATGCATGGGGACTGCCATAGATGAGACGGGCACACACACAAACACACCACAAAGCAGGCATGCTGGCGCCACTAAGCAGGCGTGTCTCTGAGAAGGCAGGCATGAGCAAGGGTTAATCCCAGGAGGCCACAGGACCAGCTCCCCTACAATTTAAACCTGCCTCCATGCCACGGGCACGCCCTGCCCAGCCACCCTGGATGGAGCTGTTCTTGGCAATAGCCCTGAGGGGGACAGCCTGGAGCACAGGGGTGACAGAGGAGCAGGGTCTGGGGGCACTCATGCCAATCACACACAGCTCTGGCTGGAAGCAACATGTGCAGATAGGCCTTGCATCAAGCCCAGCCCAGTGCGCAGACCAGAGCCCCGGAGGGCAGGCTGTGCAGGCCGACCCACGTGGGAAACCCCGCTCAGAACTGGCCCTGGGAGCCGCATTCTCCTTCCCTAATACACATGGCTTCTGGAAAATGCTGTTTGCACGTGCTTCTCCCAGCCTGAGCAGTGTGCAACTGGCACGAGCCCTTTCCACAGGGCGCCCAGAACTGCCCCAGCCCAGCAGCGTCCCTCCCAGGCTGGGTTTGCAACAGGACATGGAGGGGAACGTGTAGTTCTCCAGGGCCATGGGGTGCACAGACAGACGGGGAGAGAGGAGAGCCTCTTACCTGAGTATCCAAAGGAAATACTGGAGATGGGGCTCAGATAGATGCCTTTGCCATAGGCTGCTCCATGCAGCTTGCAGGAAAACACCAGCGTGAGCAACACAGGCAGAGGGCGTGAGCATGTACCCAGGGGGCGCCGCATCCACCAGCCCAGGGCCAGGGCGGGGAGAAACCAACAGGGCACAGACTGGCCAGACTGCAGGCCCTCCCCCGCTAGTCAGTCTGTCCATCCGCCCCATGCTGCAGACCCTTCCTCTGCCTGTCGGTCTGTCCATCCACCCCACGCTGCCAGCACCTCCCCCACCTGTTGGTCTGTCCATCCGCCCCACGCTACAGGCCCCTCCCCTGCATGTTGTCTAGCCGTCTCCCCCCATCTCCCACCAGTCAGTCTGTCCAACTACTTTTCTGTCTGCTTGTCCCACTCAGGAGCAGCTGAGCCTGCAGAGCCAGTTCCTGAGCACTGCTGGGAGCGGGGCGGGTTTGGGAAAGTCGGCTGCTGGGAGCTGAGCTGAGCTGCAGTGAGAAAAGGAGAGGGCATGGCCTTGGGCGTGGGACCCTCCCCAGGTGGGCTGTCAGTGAAAATCCACTGCCCTGGGAGCCCTCGGACACGTCTCCCGCTGGCACACCCTGCTGATGGGAGACTCTGCTGCTGGTGCTCACTGCAGCCCAGCACTGCAGGGGTTAATCTCGCCCCACAAAGCTGGGCTCTGTTCTAATGCCAACCAGGCCAGAGCCCAGACCTCAGACCCACTGGCTCGCTCAATGCCCAGGAGAGCCTAGGTCACCTGCATGTGGCCACACCCAGCCCATGTGGTCAGCACGCTGGCAGAGGGCTGGCACCAGGCCGTTACCTGCAGTTTGGTGTAGGACGCATTGACCAGCCCGTTGCGTAGGATGGAATGCCAGTTCTCAATGTGAGATCCACTGCAAGAGCAAGGAACCAGCACGTCAGGCACACAGCCCTGCCCAGCACTACCATCCTGCATGCACCCTTGCTCACACCTGTCCCCTCACACACCCGCCCTCCACTCCTTCACTGGCACCTAGCACACACACAGCCAGCCACTCCCTTGCTACCAGAGCAGCACCCGCCCCGGCCTCCCTCTCTCCCACGCACCCACACCCGGGATGGCAAGGCCAGAGGTGGAACTTGCGGCTGGAACAGACGCCCATGTGAGCGCTAAATGCCACCGTGTCTGTGGCAGTGCGGGCACCAGGAGGGGCTGGCCGCCCCGAGGACAATCCCAGGAGCGAGCCTAGCCACATACCTAGGGCGGCTAGCCCCTCCCGCTATGTCTGGCTATGTCCATGCCAGCTGGACTCAAACCTCCTGCTCCAGAGCAGTCAGACCACAGATACACCCTCCCCTAGGGCTGGTGCGGCTTTGTAAAGTCCCAAGAACTCTCTCCTCTGCTGGGGCATGCCCAGCCTCCCCTTCTGAATGGCCCTGGGCCTCTGGCAGGATGGCGGGCCAGGTTGAATGGAGACAGAGGTTCGGCAGACCCAGCCAGCAGCCCTTCCCAAGGAGCTCCCTACTCACGCACCCTGGGGATGCAGGCAGCCTCCCAGGGCTCCTCATCAGCCATGCGGTGCCCCAGAATGCCCAGCTGTGCCATGGCCACACAACACGGACTTAACCGGGCAGCCCCAGGAAGGTCCCGCTTAGTGCAGGTAAGTTTAGATCCTTCTGCACTTCTGGGCTTTGAGGCAGCAGGCTGGGATTCTCAGGAGAGCAGCCCCCACTGCTCCGTCTGGGCCTGGCCGTGCCTCTGCCCTCCCAGGGTAAGGAAATAATGCAAGTTAGCTGGTCCCTGTCAGCTGCCAGCCCCTTTGGGGCTGGAGTCCCTGTTCTGGGCAATGGATTGAGCTGGTTCTGATCTGACCCAGAGGGTCCTTCCCCTCCTGAGCGCACAGCACCACCATGCCACTGCCAGGCGGGCTCGCAGGGCCCGATCCAAAGCCCAATGGGGGTCTTTCCATTGACTCCAATGGGCTGTGGATCGGGGCCTAAGTTTCCTTATCTAGCAGCAACCCCATTCCCCCAGCCTGCCTGTAGCCAGAGTTCTCCTCCAGATACACTGACCCTCTCGCCTGGCTGGGTACCTGGTTCAACTGCTGCAGCAGGGGCTTGGCTCGCTCTCTCTGGGCACTAGTGCCCCCAGGGCATTGCTACCAGAGCAGGGACAGGCCCCACTGCAGGGATTCTCCCGACATGCTGCAGTGAAGGAGAACCTGGGGCAGCAGCGCCAGCCAGTTTGGAGCCCCCAGGAAGAAGCAGCGGGGAGCTGCCCCAAGGGGAAGGGCAGACTCACTGAAAAGCGAAGGTGCTCCCGTAGAGTTTCTTGGCTGTGCGGAACCGGGCTTCCTTGGCTGGGGGGCTGCTCAGCAGGAGGAACTGGTGTGAGGTGTGCATGAATTTCAGCTGCTACCAAGGGAAACAGACCAGCAAAAAGGGGAGGGAGCGAGCGAGCAAGAGAGAGATAAAAGAGAGAGAGATCATGCAGGGAAGTCGGTCCCCAGCGCTGAACCCCCATCCCAACCCCACCACCGTCTCCAGGAGCCAGTGCAGGGCCCAATAGTACAGACCCCTCCACACCTCAGGGATGCTGGGTGCCAGGCAGTGACTGGTGGGGTGGAAGCAAACCAAGGCTGCTCCCTGAGTGGCTAGCGATGGCCACAGACGGAGCCTTTCACCTTCCCAGCCCAGTCCCTCTCGGCAGGGCCTTCAGGCTGTTACCAGTGACCTAGGAGCGAGTGTACATGGGCCAGGGAGCCGTGCTGGGAACTGGGGGTTGGGGAAGCTCCGGCCCACTGTGGCAATACGGAGCAGGGCTGCACTCACTGGGCATGCAGGAGGGAGCAGGATGGTGGCACGCAGCCAGCCTGACCCAAAAGGAAGGAGCTCGTACCCTGAAAGGGGGGCGGCCACGTACCCTGCTGAGAGGCAGCTTGACAATGTGAGATCTGTTACTGGAGATTATCCTAGGGAGGAGAAAGAGGCCGTTAGAACTACGGGGTTACCCTGCCAGATCAGCCATTGGCCCAGTTAGGACATCTTAGATCAGACCAGTACACACTCTTCACATATTGAATCAGACCCCAGCCCATCCAGCGTGGCATCCCGCCTCCTCTCTGGCAGATCAGACCCCGCCCATCCAGCGTGGCGTCCCACCCCCTGCCCTGGCAGGTCAGACCCCCGCCCATCCAGTGTGGTGTCCCGCCCCCTGCCCTGGCAGGTCAGACCCCAGCCCATCCAGCGTGG